GTATGTACTGCGACTCAGTCGACCCACCTCTCGCACAGGATGGCTAGATGGCTATCCTTCTTTGCGGAATATAACTTCGTAATGAAGTATAAGCCGGGAAGCAGAATGCTTTGACTGATGCGTTTTCACGCAGGCCAGACTATAAACTTGCTCATGTTACAACTGTAACGTCGTCTGTGACGGATTTGATCCGCACCGCGTATGCGGGTGATGAGGTGTGTGTAGCGTTGCTACGGACTCTCGGGAGCAAAGAGTTTAAAAACTCGGACAAGAAATTGTCATCAAGAATGCGTGCACGATTGCACCGATTGCAGTTGACATAGATGATTTACCGATATTACCACGAGACGGCTTCAATTATAAAGGGGTGGTACCGAAGATCCTATTCGACTTGCTGTCATCAGCCCGCCTAGCATGCGCAAGGTGCGCAACGCAATGGCTGAGGGACAGCATGTTCAGAATCAGTAAGCCGGGGCCAGAGTCAAGTTTAAGATCCATGAATATATGATGAACTATCTTTTTTATATTTGGTTTACCCGCAACGACAATCTCATGGATTATGCACACAACCTTCACATAACTAAGACAAGTGTGGTACGCAAGGGTCTTTATTTGCTGACTAAACTCAACATTCAAGACAGCAATATGTAGACTAACAGGTGGATGTATTACGAATATGTAGTGGGCGGGAGCTGATTGGTTATGTAAGCTGCTTGTGGCATGAAACAGCGCTAACAGTAATATCAGGATTTTGCAAGCTGTAATAACGGCAGCAATTGTCGCAGTACTTGATACAATATACTAGACCAACTCTTCACCGCCTAATGATCCATACGCAAGATCTCTCTCGCTGCAGTAGTACAAAGTGACGTAAACGCAAGGTGCTGCGGCAGTCCATGATCTGATCTTCTTTCTCTTCTTTGACTTTAATTTGCGGGTTGAAGATAACAGTTGGTGAGCAACTTCACAAGTGCCGACCCATGCAAGTAATCAGCCGTCCATTTATGTCTGGATAGTGATTGCAACAGGATCAAGGCCCTCTTATCTTAGGCCGCCTGTCTTCCACGAGGAAGCATATTCATGAGGTATTAATCATGGGGTATTCTGGTGTTTTGAGGGACGGTGTGCATGAAGAAGCGACAAAAAACGAAGAAATGATTTCAGAATAACTTGTGCTTGTCAGAAATCTATCTTCTTAATAGAGTTAAAGTACTTCAAGTACGCGATAGTATTATTTTTATTGACGAGAACGGCAATGGATGGATTTTGTATCATGCTAGCAATTTAATTTTGACAAGGGACGACGCGACTGTGTTGATTGGTGTACGAGTAGGTACGAGTCTAGTGGGTATAACGGCTGCTGCATTGATGTTCAATAGCCGTTAGTGAGTCAAGCAGTTTTTCGGAAGCGCCAAATAGTTCTTGCCCCTTTAATGCATGATCCTTCGCCACTAGTCGATCACACAACCGTTGACTAGATGTGGCGTACTAAAGCCCTGCATTCATGAAGTGATTTGAATAGATCCTTATCGACTGTTCAGGTCATCATGTCTGCGGAAAAAACAATCTCTTCGCCCGTTTTCCAGATAACGCTCCTTGGATCGTCACAACTGAGGCAGGGTCCTCGCGAATCGATCTTCAGACAGTATCAAAAATGATGTTCATTGAATGTTGAGAAGTAACATCAATATACCTTCTCGAGACGCTGGATCAGTTGGACAAAAATGCTTTTGATCTTCAGGCTCAGATGGCTACTGAAACGCAAATGTCGCATAAAGAGGTTGCAGCACACAATTCTCTTCGTGGTTGAAGCTGACACGCTGGAACACGCCATAAATGCGAGCGTAGTAACCTCGTTGAGCTTGAGAGCATAACTACTTTTCGCGGTTCCTCCTTCTGATTATTCTTTTCATGACCACTGCCTTGTATTCTTAACATCCCTCGCATGAGCAAACATAGTACCTTTTGAGTATATACTGTATGGAACATCGTTGGGCTTCCTCGTACTATAGAAATGATCTTGTATCAGTACGGCTTCCTTGTGGTGGATAGGTGGCCTACAATGGGTTGTCCGTGTTGCAATTACTATCGAGACATAAACGGACTACTGATTACATGAAAGAAGACATCTGTCACTCAAAATTTGGTGACTCCAGCTTATCCGACGTCCAGTCTCAACGCGCTAAAATTCTCATAAAAGCGTATGATAGAGGTGCAAAAAATTTGAATCCAGTCGGTATTTAAATGTCTTATCGAGTAGTGATATAAAGATTAAAATGCGCTCATCAAACGAGGTCTTTTGCTGATCGGCAGTTTTAATATCCGGCTTTTAAATTTTTTGGTGGACACTGTTGTAAAAACTATACTACACAGATGCGAAAAATTATTTGTATTATCTTTTACAAAATAATAAGAAAGAGTACGACTCTAAAACACAATTATCAGAAGTTTGGAAAGTTGAAGAAACCCATTGTGACTGAGTTAATGCTATTTGCTTAATTAAGGAATACTATTTTTTTGAAGGATTTCAAAACTGAAGATAAAATTCAGCTCGTAAATGTCGAACTTAAGAGAAAAAAATAGAAGGGCGGATGAGATGTATATGTCATGCACTCAATCATGACGAGGGAGGCACGTAAACGTATTGAGTAAACAAGATTTACGAATTTGGAACTTTTGCTGACGGTCGTGGATATCTGTGGCTAGCAAAGATGGCAAGCGCAGGCTATAGATTCGCAGACGTGATACTATGAAGATTTGAAAATAGAGTTTTGATTACCAAGCGACGCTCATAGCCCTTACTGTTCGAATTACAAAATTGAATTGTGACAATCCAGTCTGAGAGTACAACAGTTTATGAGATCAACAAAAAGCGTGATGGTTCAAACTTTTTTGCAAAAAGCGTGGTGGATGTGTTGGAAATGTTCCCGGCACATAAGCTCATTAAAGTCTGATGGGCATGAAGAAAAAAAATGGGTTGTAATCATACGAATAGCCTTCAGCGTCGCTATAAAACAGTTATGGATACCTTAAACTTAATTACAGTACAGGTATCCGGGTAGCATAAGACGAATATGCATTGTTTAAAGCTCTAAACTATGATTACAGAGTTCATGTTCACACTTCTTTCCGAATCCACTATATCTAGCCTTGCCAAAACAAAATCACAGTTTGGCCGCTTTTACGGCACTTAAACTGCGAGAACATACAGACATCACTCTGCGTCGGATCTTTGGACGACCGCGGCACCTGAAGAGGTGGCCTCTGGGTTTCATCGTTATTATATGTGTTCGACAAGCGCCACAACGAGTTTTGCACTGGTTGGAATCAACGCCTTCCCAAAATTGACTGAAAGTACACCATAGCCTGTGGCATTCTTTTAGTGAGTTGACATTTCGACTATTACGGCCACACCTTCGGCACAAGTTTTGCGAGTTGGCACGTTACCACGCATTTGCCATCTGGTCGATGAGCTCACTTGAAGCTTTCTTGCGATACAATTTTTATACACAGATTGAGCAACTGACGCAAAATTTATAGGACACCTCCCTATATAGTCAGATAAATTGTCTTAGTATATTAATGTTTGGAGACTGCCTGTTGTAAAATTTTCATCTTTGCAGCATTCGCTATAAAGTGAGGCTCTCCAAGCAGTGCCATCGCATGCGAGACATACTACATCGTGTATAGTTTTTATTTCAAAATACAAGCTCTTTGAGCACGGTACTGACACTTTGCATAGAGAATATTTCGCGTTTTAGCTGAAAGTTGAGACTCATAGATACGATGCATCACGGATCACCAATTGCACAACAACAGATCAAGATACGAATCCAATATGCAGCTAACTCAATTGCAACGGAGAGTAGTGTTAGCTGGCCCGCAACAAAAAAGGATGCAGCACGCTCTCGATTCTTATAAATTAAAAGAAGCTTCTTGTACAAAAGTCGGAGAAGTAAATCCTTACGGCTCTCTGTCGGCGGTATGTTCCTTGTAATTGAATTTTGTAATAAATAAAATATTGAAGGAAAACTGTAAGACAATTTTTCAAATAGCGTTGGCAAATTGTCTACTGTACAAACAACGATTTGCACACATGTGTGGTTCTTACTCAGGATACCACCCCACTGCAAATAGATGCAGTATCTTGTATAATATTAAACTAGGTCCACTTTCTGAAGTAAAATCCATGTTGATGCGAAATATATTCTGGAAGTAGGGGTTGGGAGAGGATACTTACTGACTATATTACAACATAAACATTCTACCAATTAGGACCATCAACATACTGTACCATCTGAAAAGTCATCTGTGGCCAATTAGCGCCAGATGGCTTCTACTACAGTATCCACTGACAACCAACTCCTTCAACGTGCTGCCGAGAGGCTCCTTCGTATGGAGTCCACCCACATTGATCCATTTCCCGATTTCCCGACTCGACTCACAGTAAAACTCCGGTGTCTTACAAACCATGGACCTGGATCCACAATCGTCTCGTGCACATTTCACGAAAGTAAATACCCCGAGTCAGCTCGCACCTGTACAAACAAGTACGACGAATTACATGCCATCGCCATCGAGAGCGTTAGAGTTGGATACGCCACGTGGACCAGAATATATTGCTGGGGACGGAATTCCGACGGGCGCTTGGGCCACTGGTCTCTTTGATTGCTTTGACAACCTTATACCCAACTGCTTTATGGTCACTTTGTGTCCATGTGTGGCTGTAGCACAATTATCTACACGTCTGGGCGATGCCTCGTACAAACTCGTTCTAGGTTTCTTAGTGCTTGCCTCAGTGGTGCAGTTGACCATGCTTGTAATCGCGTGTATTAAGGCTGAAGAAGAGCATGACACAGTGAATGGCATTTACGGCTCCTACGATGGCAAAGAAGTCAATGCTTCGTTCGTAATTATTGCGCTAGCTGTGCAGCTTCTGCTACTTGCCTACGTCTGGCATCTTCGTATGAAGACTCGCCGCCGCTTTCAACTCCCTGGCTCAATGGTGACCGATTGTCTCAGCTCGTGGTTTTGCTCGTGCTGTACGGTGGCACAACTGCGTACGCATGTGCGTTGTTATCAGCCCGGAGACTGCTCGTTCCGAGCTCCTGATGTGCTCCAAGCCTATCCTGGCAAGTCGTATGCAGTATGAAGTGAACCTAGCTTTTGCTTAAGTATTTCGAAATTTCAATAATTGTCTTCGTTCGTTTTCTGTAATCTATTCTTGAATGCTCCGACAGAGATAGAATTTCCTCGGTAGGAAATTCAAGAATAAGAAATTAATACCAATGCAGAAAGCTAATGGTTCAAAAAATCGCTCGTCCAGACAGTGGTGCACGTTAAGCAGGCTTCTCATGCCGGTACATGTGAACAAAGCGTGATGGTTAGCGCATGGTCGGCTGATTTTTGTGGCTGTTTTGATTCAATGATACCAAATTGCTGCATGGTCACTTGCTGTTCGTGTGTTGCTCTGGCCCAGATTTCCGAGCGACTGGGCGTTGCACCGTACATACGCATCCTAGTGATCTTCTCATTGCTTTCTCTTGCCGGCTTTATTGCCGGACTTTATCCAGTCTATTTAAATAGTCATTCGGAGTTGGGACCCAGCATTAATTCGAATGAATATTCCCACGCCGGTCGTCATGAGACTAATCCGGCCCAATCGTGGACTCTTACCATCGTCAGAGCCATTTTTGTTGGGTACATTTGGTATTTGCGTCAAATCACTCGCCGAATGTTTCGAATTCCAGGAAGTTCATGTGGAGACTTTTGGGCTTCATTCTGTTGTTCTTGCTGCACTTTGGCGCAGATTGCGACGCACGTTAAGAGCTACAAGCCGGGAGCTTGTAGCTTTGGACCGCCTGACGTGTTACCCCCGTACACGTAAGCTACATTTGATTAACAATCCATGGTTTGAAATAAACATTCGGTAGATAGCAGTCTACTTATTCTCCTGCTTAGATAAGAGGTGCTGATACGATTTTTTTTTAATATAACGATTCTCTCTACATCTAAAAAATATGAAGTTGGGTATGTCTTTCCTGATGATGCCGCGCCGCCTGCCTCATCTAGAGTAGTAAAGAATATACAGACATTGCCACAATTACTTGTTGAAGAAGTGAGCACTTTTACACTTCCACGCATCCCAACGCACGAGTCGATTCCTTGACCATAGTCGAGAAGATGGAGCACATTCTACGCAATTTTGTCCACAAACTGCATACTTCAGCACAAGAGTTTGATCGAGCTTTCAATAAGTCAATCGTGAAGACCTGTAAAAGATATCATTCACTGATTCGAAGTACATTATCCAAATTAGAAGCCAACTAGCTTAATAAACGGTTTGAAAAGAATCTTTCAGCACCATGTCGCTATTGATGACAACGCATCTGATATCGATATCTTATGTTTGGTTAAGATCAGATGTCGTGATCTCTTTTTCCTGTGTTGTCTCTTTAATTGCAAGGATCGAAACATTGTTTCAAGACATGATCGAGTGCTGAAGCTAACCCTTGTGCTCTGGTGCCTCTACAAATAATTGAATATTGTAAACACCAAATATATTCTTAATTTTATACTCAAAAAAGGTTCCCCACTAATTGACAATGGTGCATTGGGGCACGGTCTTCGTCTCGATGACGATATCAAGCTTCCTACTGGGACGCCGGGAGCTCCCTAAAATTGGACGTGTTTTAGGTTTTTACAGTGGACGTAGCGTGGGGGCCATCCTCCGTGCGAAAAAAGAGTTTTTCGATGCCACGAAAGATAACGACCTGATCAAGCTGCAACGAGAATTTCAACGTGGCATCGAAGAGCTCAATGAGATACGCGCAGAATTTACGAGCGTTGGAAATATGCGTCGTCCTTTGCAGCCCAAGAGTGATGAAAGCGCAAGTGGTATCATGGGTCAAGCAGTCGTGCGCTCACCATTTGCACCCCCACCAACTGGAGGGCGTTCCAGTGTCTCTTTGGCGTCCACTGATGAATATGAGCTGCAGAATGGTCTGCAGCGAAGTGGAGAAGCAAATTTAGCCATAGCGGAGATGAAACTAGCGGAGCAACGAAAGTTTGTATCGAGAATCGAAAGTCAGGATGGAGGCGCGGACTATGTATCCGCTAGCATCATGGACAGCTTATTGTTGGACCTGAAGACGAAGAAGGCTTGACAAGCGTGTAGCAATAGATGTTATTTCTTTACAGTATCTTGTGGTATTACATCATGTGCTGTCATGTCATTACTAATAGTATATCAGCACAGTGCTGCAACACTACAATCATAACCTACACACGATGCCGATCGGATTGCTATAAACACGCAATTTCTACTTCTGCAATAATTGGTGCATTAGCAGCTCGACTGGCAACAAGCTCGAGTCGTTTGTAAGTACAACGTCGAACTTTTGCAAGTACAAGTCTAGTTTTTCGTCCGATCCGTCATTAAGAAACCCGATGCGCACGATTTCATCTTGTTGAAAATTCAGTCCGTCGGCCATATTTGAGTCTCCAAGCGAATCTCCTAACAAGATAATGTTGCGTCGCTTTTCCAGTTGGCATTGTTTCCAAAAGTCTGTCTCTAATATCGCACTTGCGCTCTTGTTTAAACTGTGGATCAGCTGCTTCGATTTGAATTCATAATTATTGTTATTCTTTGCACATTTTTAGCAAACCATGCCAATCGTACCGTTCCATCAAATCCGATCACTTTGTCATGTTCATCAAAGGACATCACGTTAGAAATTACATGCACATTTCTTGGTAGGGTCTTGGCTGAAGTGTTTGCATACTCTTTGTCCAGTACAGCGTGAATCACGTCGTATAGTCCCGCCGAGAAGATAAGTGTTGGTACATTATTTCTTGCTAGCAGCTCAAAAAGTTCCATGAATCCTTCTCGTAACTTGATATCACTCGATTCCACCGCCTTCTTGATCGCATTTTTCGATACGCCGTGCTTTATCATAAGCTCGTGTGTTTTGGTCCACCATTCAATCATAAAAGGAAGTTTTTCCTCCTTTGTGAGCGTTGGTGACTGCTCAATTGGGAAGTATTTCTCAAAAATCTCTCGTGCGACAATCTCAGCGTTTGGACCTAGCGCATCGCTTTCCATGAGAAGACTGTGAGAACTTACAGCCTGTTCGTCTGAGATATTAACATACCATGAGTTGATGTTTAGGTACTATCAAACAATGAAGTCACAAACCTGTGGATTTATAGGCTGAAGTGAGTGTGTAGTCGAAGTCAGCAATAACTACGAGTTTGTTCATTTGATCAGTAGTAAACTTTTTCCATTTAAGGGCAAACTCTTCTGTGTTGACAATATAAGAAATTACTATCTCGGGTTGCTGGAGTCATTAGAAATGATCGCCTTGCCTCGATCGCGTATAAACATCATAGGTTTTCCATGTGGTCGGCGGTGGGAGTTACTCGATTCGGCGCACACTGCTTTTTTATTGTACAACGATCTAGTAGCAGCCGCCGTTCCGGCAATAGCCAGGAAGGTAGAAAAGAGCGACGAAGCTTGACCACGACAAACAAGGCGAAACATGAAATATGGAGAGAAATAAATGGGCAATGTTATGGGGAACGGATTACTAAATTCTTGCCAAAAACATGTCTGTATATGGGGTTACACGAACCCTGATAATAAGGGTGTGTGTGTCACACGAGATGTGCATGGTGTGACCACACCCAAACAAAAATACGGTACGGGCTAGGTAGCATATATTTAGATTTTACTATATATCTAGTATTTTTAAGAAATCTAAATTTTTAAAGTTAGGATAAAAAAGTAAATAAAATCAGTTTTGAATTTAGACAAAAGAGTCAATTAGCCTTGGGAGGGCAATAATTACTCTTGGAGTAAGCGGATTGCGATCCGCTAACT